TAATATTGACATCATCACAAGATAAGATCCAGGACTAGTTAAATCACAGCCTCGCAACTCAGTGCTCCTTTGGGGATTAGAAGAAGTCGCTGAGCTGTCACTCTAAAGCTGATCATGGGCTCGTTTAACTATGTCATCCCATAAGACAGCCCTTTCAATTATGTCAACCTGTCTGCTCTCCCTAGACTCTAATTTTAGAGCAGCAGTAGCTAATATTCTTGGAAAACTGATCCGCCTCCACAGATCTCTCCTCTCTGTCTGCTGCTGTTAACGGAGTATCCTGTGGGGAGATCGGACTGCTTTACTTCCCCTCCTGTAATAAACCTAATAAAAATAGGTACCATTAGGTTCCTTTGTGTGTGGTCTCTTTAAGACACTTATCTGAGCTATGTAATGGAGATGTCACGTCTCCTCCACAGAGGGATCTGGCAGCACTACAGGGTCATTGCAATAAAAATAAAATTCAGTTTTAAGAGCCCGGTACAAAATTATGAGCCGAAAAGCAGGACGATGGGATTGGAGTTCAGAGACCTGGAAGAGGCAAATGTGAGCTGGAGTCACCCGAATGTTAATGCTGCAGCGGTGGCTCCGCAGCTGGAGCAGAAAGCAGGATGCTCCCAGCTGGTGCAGGAGGACTTTGGGCAATGGGGTGGCCCTGGGGGCCCCGGGGACAGGGGACTCGTCCATGTCTTCTGGATGGTGCTGGGAGTAGTTTGGGGCACACAAGGCAGGGAGAAGGTGGATAGACCCAGCTGTCTCGGCCACGGGCATCTCTGTGCTGTGCTGCCCATCATAACACACCTTGGTGGGAAGGGGACAGACCCTGCCCCAAGAGATAGGATGGACCCAGCCACATCCCTGGCTCCCCATCCATGCCGTGTCCATAGCTGGCAGCGATGCGGGACAGTCGTCCCCCTGCCATCCCACGAATGACCCTCTGCCCTCGCAGGCTGGCAGCACAGGAGGAAACGAAGCCACGCTTCAGTTGTCCCGTTTGGGTCTTCCATTGTGTCAGCCATGGCATTGAAAAGCAGCAAGGACTTTTTCCAGCCACGCAATTAGAGCTGCCATGACAGAGGGGACAGGGAAGGCCTTTGAAGCCCTTCTCTATCTCTTCTGGGCAGCATGACAGTCCCTTCAGCTGGGTCAAGACTCCCTTGGCCATTGCTCCTCCATGCTTGGCCTCCGCCAGGCTGGACTGGCCATACTGGAGGACAGTGGTGTGCAAGTCTGAGGCTGTCAGAAGATTTTCTGTTTTCTGCAGAGCAATTCTGGCCTTCTCCAAAATAATGACTCTTGGGGGCCTTGTTTGAAGGAGCAAACATCCGTGAAGCTGAGGAAGGCTGTGATCCTCTTCAGAGGTGTTTTATTCCCCCTTTAGGATGCAGTGTGCATCCTAAGGCAGACCATGCTGGTGAGGTGGGGTGGATGGTGGCGTTTAACCCGCTGCAGAGCCACCAAGAGGCAATCCAGGTCCCATGGGAGAGGAAGGGAAGGACAAAGAGCAGAACCACATGACAAAGGAAAAAACAATAGCCTTCCTCTCCTAAAAAACTAGAAAAGGAGTAAAAGGGATGGAAGGGAAAAGAGGAGGCAGCGAGACCATGCAGAGACAAGGGAGGGAGGTGACACCCATCCATCCCACCACTCTGGTGGCAGACGCCAGGCCTTCCCTTTGCAGATCGGGTTATAGAAAACCAACACACCGCAGGCTGCCAAGGAATGGTACCTCCCCCAGACTCCAGCAAGTTAGTTACACGTAGCTTTCCTTTCATAAATCCATGTTGGCTGCCTCTAATCAAATTCTGCTTCTCAAGCAATTTCCCTTGCTAATTCCTCCCGAATCAGTTCTAACCCACCTATCCCCCTTGTCGCTAAGCTAGCCAGCCTCTAATCACTGCTGCACTGTGTGATCCTTTCCCGAGTAATAGGGGGTTCGGCACTTTCCTCCGGTTCTCAGCAGCCTAACCTGTCAGGAGCAACCTTCTAAAAATATCACTAAAGAACTCGGCTAATTTCTAATCCTCGTTTCTATTAAGATGGCTGCCTGTACTATGTGGGTTTCCAGACTTGGGATTTACAGTCTTCCTTAAGAGCATCTAATCTGCGCAGAGCCACTTCTGTTGTTATCCAAACGCAAACTCCTCCTTTCCCCACCATAAAACATGATCCCTTTGGCAGCGGCTCTCCAGTCTGCAGGGCAGCATCAGCCAGCCAGCGAAGACATCAGCTTCTCCCCCTCTGCCTAGCTCACCCCGCTGCTTTTTGGCAAGCCTTCCAAGGGAGATCACTGAGGTTCCACTCCTCTTGGGTGCTGGGTAGGTGCTTTGTATGAAAAAAAATCAGCCTGCGAGCCAAGCAGGGCATGTGATTTTCTTTGCACTTCCCAAGTTCTTGAGTGTTGTGTAAATAGTATAACAGACCTGATGTACAGATGCATAATGGAGCAAAGTCTTGAAGTACCTTGTATAACTGGGCTTTCCATTACTGTTTGTATTTGGGTATTTTTTGCTGTTTCCTCCTTCTTTTTAACACTCCCCTGTCCCCAGCTGTCAAAACCAAACAGGTCAGAAGAACAAGGAAAGTGGGGGAGAGTGCCATGCTCTGGCTGCCCCTGCACTGCCCTGGCAGATACCAGGTAGCTGGCTCAGCTCTGTCAAGGGAAATCCTTTTAATCACATGCCATTGGCCAAAGGAACCTGGTGGAAGATGCTGCATGACTGTACTGTCAAGTACCAGGCATCTCTGTGTGCTAAAAGGAGCACTGACTGCTAAAGCTCTCCCTGGGCTTGAGACCACCAGGGTCTGCATCAAACGTGACTCAAGAGGCAGGTTCTGCTGGCAGGGAGAAGGGCAGCCGCAGCCCAAGGATGGGACCATCAGCAGATGAACAGTACGACGTCTGATGGAAACATCTACCACCGCTGCAGAATGCTCTTCTAGGACACAGCTGGACCATGATGGCTCTAACATATATTCAGAGCAGCATCAGCCTGGTTCCTTCAGCTGCTGGCGATACAGACATGGTGAGAAGAAACCATGTAAAACAAAGGACAACACTGCTTTGAAGGCAGATGGCCAGGGAAACTTTTACACTAGAAACTTGAAGCTGTCCTTCTTTCCTGAGAGCAGTGGGGTTGTGGGACAGCCTTCTGATGGGAATAAACTGGTTTTAACATTGGGTTTGGTTTGCTTATGAAGGGCATTACACAAAGTAGTTATATTTTAACAGAGACTTGAATTGCATGACCCAGACGGTCTCTTCTCATATCAGTCTCCAAAGTCCATGTGTCTATAGCCATGCCAGGCAGAGGGGCAGGACTCGGTCTGCTTGACACAGCACTGCTTTTCACACTGCTCCCAGACCTGAGCTGGTATCTCCTTGTGGGGCTATGTCACACCCCCAGGGTGGGTTCTGGGTGCTCCCAGCATAGACGTGGCACGGCCGTCTGAGAAGACCCCATGCGGCAAGCCCCGCAGCGGAGGAGATGAAATCAGAGTTTGCCCTTTGCAAACCAAAGACCTGTGGCAGAGTGCAATGCTCTGTCATCGCAGTTGATCTTTGGAGGAAGGGCTTTAAATGAGGATCTTTGGTAATTTTATGGGTCCAGGAGGGAAAGTTAATATGCGTGGAAGGCCTGGGAAGAGTGTCTGGCTGATGACGTGGTATCATTTAATCCAGCAGGATTGTGCTGTTGGGAAGACCATAACACCAGTGTGGCCGGCTGTAAGCTGCCACGCACAGCAGGAGTCATGCGAACACCATGTGACCGGGTGATGTGGGAGACGGATGAGTGGTACATACCATTCCCAGGGTTTGACAGCACGAATTGGCCTTCGCAGTTAGTCACCACATGCCTTCCTAAAGCTCCTCTTCAATCTCATAGCTCTACTCTGCATCTGAGTCATGCACTACAGGAGAAAGTCAAGTGTTTTCTGGGGAGAGCAGAGACAGAACAACATTTTGTCTTTTCTCAATCCTGTAACAAATGTCATTAAATCAATAGTCCTCACCTCCTCTGTGCGAAGCCAGTATTGTTACACACATTCAAAGATCAACATTTCTAAACTACACCTTGATCTCGAGGTGCCTTGCTAAAGTGAGATAAGCATTTAAAAACAAGAGACCAACTGGGAAACTTTTTATTCGGTTGACTTGTGCGAACCCACAGCTGCAGCTGAGTCTTGTCCACCCAAACCGGTTAGCACAGACCACTCAAACCAGTTGTGGTCTGCTGAGGCTTGTCCACCCAAACCCGTCAGCACATGCTGAAGTCCTGCAGTGGGGCCCTGAGTGTCAGCCTGCTGTGACGAGGACACCCTCTCTCACCCAGCTCTCTGGATTTGTTTTAAAGTTTGGAAGTAACATGGGTGAAACACCGCGATCCAGAGGGATGGCGTAGCAGCCTAAGCCCTGATGAAAAAATGGAATGAAAATGGAAGAGGCAAAGGGCTGAGACACTCCCGTGTCCTCAGGAGCAAACCAGTCCGACGTGGGCTTTTCAGGGGCACTCCCCACCGCGTCCTTATGTGAGACACGCGTCCCACGCCTGTACAACAGGGCGTTCACAGCAGCGGGACTGCTTGTGTCCCATGGAGGTGATTCCCTGGGGAAGCGGGAGAGGCCTTCGTCTTCATCATCACCCCCTCTCTCACCCCCACTGTGAACTCATCTCCAGGCCCTTCCCCACGCCCTGTTGCCTTCCATTCCTGTTCCCCCATCCCCATCCCCATCCCCATTCCCATCCCCATTCCCATCCCCATTCCCATTCCCATTCCCATTCCCGTCCCCATCCCGCTCTCCCGCCCTTCCTCCCAGATCTGCCCCGTCACGGCCCCGCCCCCGGCGCATGACTCAGCC